GGGACCCCTTCCTTGCCCTTGATACGATCATTGATAAGTATCGGTGTAATGGGTGAGAAACCCTGAGACGCTTTCACATTTCCGCCTGCCATGACCCAAGGGAACGGTCCTGGACCAGGAGAATGGACACCTCTGCCTAAGGCCTAAGGGTGGAGGAGCTCCAGGGTGGATGACCTGTGGATAGGATGTGGCAGGTTGTGTGGAATGTAGGACATCCACCGGTCCTTATCAAAAGTACGCTTGAAATGAGTCGTTACTTATTATCTTATCCATAGTGTTCGATAGCCCAAAGGAGTGCTCTCTAGTACTACGGATAAGATAGCAATGGAGTGCCCCCCCCCGAACTGGAGTTTCACCTATAATTCATATTGTTGGAGTCGATCAAACAAAGAAAGTTATTGCTACAGTTCACTCTGTTATTGAGGTGTCCTGAGATTTTCTATCACATTCTACTATGAAGGTTTGTTATCAAACGTTCACTCTTGTCACCAGTCTCTTGTTTTACCCGCTGCCATCAATTGCCATTGCACATCAAATGGTTGTGCCACACGTGAGGGAATAGAAAATGGAAAGGCTCACTCAAAATTTGTCAATCCTCCATGAATAGTGATGACAAGTTTTGGTGGTGGTAGCTTCCAAACAACATGAAAAAGATGATCCAGAACAGCTGGATCGGTGTCGAAGCTGGTTCGCACATAGTGAGCGCGAGCTTGATGGGCACACCCTGCAAAAGATGATGAGTGAGATGGGAGCTGCTGCGCTGCATTCATACAGATTTTCACTCGCACGCCCATACAACCTAAAGTGTGACTCCCAATTCCAGAGTAAACTTTGTTGCTGACTTTACATACGGACTTTTCTGTTTCCGTTTAGGTCCACGAAGGTTTGAAGTGAGACCAGCAGAGTAGTTTCCCACTGACTCTGGTGTTGATCAATTGACTCGCGCAAGCGGAATGAAGTTACGGTGCAGTCGATGACTCCTCGACGGGGTCATTGGTCATTGTGCTGTGACCATTTCCTCGAAGAAACAGAGGTCTTAGCTGCTCTCGGCGGTGATAGACGAGTGGCGGGATAAATTATTGCCTACCAAAAAGGGAATTCGTCGCTCAAGAGAGATGACGCAGTTTCGCGGGCCGTCAGCTTCGATGTGGTAGCCTAACAGGAAAGTGTTCATGGGAAAAAGGGTTCTGTTTGGCGAGTTAGAGACCGTCTCCCTCAATTTTTTCCCTAATGTGCACCTGATAGCAGACTATGCATTTTGACTCCCAAAAGGAGACGAACTTATTGTAGCGACTGCCTTTAAGCCTGAAATGCAGGTAACTCATGATTATTTTTGTTAATTGTGTGAAAGTAAAAGATTTGAGCTCTC